GTTGGAACTATGGAGAGCAAGGACATATGAGGAGTCAGTGTAAGAAGAATACTACCAATAAGTCAGCCTCGGCGAAACCAGTAGTGTTTGCCAGGCACCCTCTTTTTTAATATATAAGCCTGGCAAATAAAGTCAGAGATAGATAGATCGGAGATATAGATAATTGAGTCAAGCGAACAGTAGGCACCATAAATAAAGTGTGTGAATCACTGTGAATTATAGCATGTGTTTATAAAAGTAGTTAAGTTAAAGTGACTGTGGAAATTCTGTGTATTATTAAAAGTTGTATCAAGAAAGAAAAAACTAGTTTCAATCGAGACAGGACTTGTATTGCTGAAGTTCTTCGGAAAGAATTTCTACCGGAAATTAACAAACAAGCAGATACATAACACTGGATTACCTAGTGTCATTTCCAGCTTTATCCCAATAAGTTCCTTCAATTTCTTGCAATATTTTATACCTCTCCTCTACATTCTAGATCTTATGATGATTCCTGGAAGTCATCTGTAATTTTACAAATCCTAAAACCTAATAAGTAAATTTTTCTGACACATTTTAAATCACTTTCACAGACTTATTGCTGATCATCAAATCTTGCCATCTAACCAGGTTAGTTTTCGACCACAGATATTGACATTGGATCAATTTATAGGACTCTTTCTTCAACCATTTTAACAATAAGAAACCTTCTTTTGTCCTGCTTTTTGATTTTGAGTTATATTTTTCTACTCTTTCTGGTAATGTGACTTGATCTACAAACCTAGAAACTTCATACAATCAAAGTTATCAACTCATTTCTCTGTGAGATGATGTGCAGCTATTTCTCTTGAAAAGACTCTGTTGATCCTTCTATCTCTCTCATGAAGTTCCTCAAGGCTCATTCTATCCTCTTTACTATATATTCTTTATGTTGCTAATCTGCCTGAGCATTAGAGTTGGCCTTCTCAGCATGCATAGCGTATATGTATAAAGAGAAACAAGTTATGTAATTAGCATAGGTCATGCATAAAATAAATTAGCATAATTCTCAATGTTTCAGAATTTCACACATACCTCGGCAATGCTAAATCAAAAAAGTACAAGGTGTCTTAAAAGTCTGGAACCACAGACACTTCAACAATTTTTACAGAATGTGTTCTACATGCTGCCCTTGTAATTAAAAACAAGCTTGAAGATGATATTTCCATCTTCTCTGAACACTGCAAAGCATATTTGTGTCATTATCAGTGGTCCACAGTGTCAGTCTCCTTAAATTTAGCCAGCAACTTCCCAACAGTACTGTGAGTAATGCTTTTCTCTCTCTATCTGGATGGCATGCATTAAATTTGCAGGAACTTTCTCTGCCACACAGAAGGATTAAAATGACCATTTCATGCTTTGACAGTGCTGTAATCAGCCACTTCTTTGAAATTAAGAAAAGCTGAAAATCAGTTATGGTTCGAGACTTTTTTTGACACCCTGTATTTGACTTGCATATAGGGAGTTATATATACGAAATAGTGCAAACAGTAATTTAAATGCTGTCGAGAAAACACGATAACAGATAAATAAAATTTACTGTGAAAGTATTCTTTTAACCCATTCTCCTTTTGGAGAACCCTTAAAGATATTTTTGTTGCTAACTGTATTGTGTTTGTAGTCATCCTGTTAAATTTAAGGCAATGATATAAAACCCAACAAAATAATTCATACTGCTTTTATTGTTGGTAGAAAATGCTCAATGAAAAATATTAAATTACTAGCCATGACCCACAAAGAATTTCTTATTAGGTTTTGTGCCCTTCACATGAAATTCTCCTTATTCTATCATTTTCATGCGTGTTAGATATACACGATGGTTTGATTTATATTTAATACAAGAGTTATGATTTTGATAGTGATAATACACGAGTGTTAAATATAATATTTTTGGAAGCTATAATTTATCGCAGGTTTGTTTAGGTAACTGTGTACAAATCATACTTTCTATAGTTCACTAGTTGTTGAATGTTATATTGTTGCATTATGTTACTAGAATTTTCTAAGTTTTTCTCGTTGTTTCATTGAGTATTGTTACCTCTTAATGTCTCATAGTTTGTAGAAAGTTATATAGGCATCTATAAGAAGTTAGTGAGATTTAGTAAAAAAAAAGTGATTGAGATATAGATACATTTGGACTGTGTGAATTTAGCTGTAATAGGTAATTTCTAAAGTGAGTTTCACAGCTTGCATTGTAATAACAGAGACAGAGGAAAATAATTTGTCTTGTCAAAGGGTGCTCTAAAGTAACTGAACCTGCCTGTGTGGACTTTGACGAAAAAGAGACAATTATTTAAAACTCTGGATACATCTGTAATAACCAATTGTGTAATGAAGTTTTGTACATACATTTGGCTTGTTTTGAATATATTATTTTAAAACAAGTGGATTGTGTGCTGTCTGTTTATTGTTGAAATTTATCGCCAACCAATCACAGACACCTACCGTAAAGAATCTGCCCTATACATACGAAACCTGACAATACATGCAATTTAAGCTATACTGTTTTGAAGGCATTATGTGTTAGATCCATAAATCCTGGTCTGTTTGAGAAAAAATTATGCTTCAGACAAAAAAAATAAAAAAAAAAAAACTACTCCGAGACGTAACCTTATTTAATAAAACTAAACATAAAGCAAACAAAGTATAGTAATGTCACTTATAATAGTGTACAGAGTATGAAATAGTTATGAGGTTTCAGTGTATGACAGTTTTATGAGTTGAAACAAATAAATTCGCAAAAATGAAGAATAAAACCCGTAGTAAAGAAAAATTTAGGTATAAAGTGTTTATAGCAGTATATACGAAACAAACCGATGCTAAATTATTGCAAAGTAAAGTATGTGTGAAGTTGTAATGAAGGCAAACTTAGCTGATTATGCAGAAACATCTGAATGCGTGTTTACAAAGTGATAAGCATATGGTTTTGAACGAACTTCATATGCGTATTTTAGACCTAAATAAGTCGAGAAAGCCCAGAGAAATTGTATTAAATGTAATATTAATTTTATAGGAAATTACACGTGGGTTAAGTGTTGTTTATGTGCAATTAATACTTTGCAAATTAAAAAACTAGAGTTGAAAGTGAAGCCAGTCGTCACATGATGACAACGACATTGTGCCATCGTGTACGATACTCGTTGCATTGAAAAGTTTCACTAAGTAAAAAACGGGTAAGATGACTCTGAATGAAAGGCCAATATGCAATCTAAACTCCTTCCACAAAAGCCATTCTAACCATATGAGATTTTTAACGTTTGACCGAGAAATTTGCATATTATTTATATAGATTAAATATTGTACTCTTATTTCATTTTTAACGCTTGGGTTTAGATATAATGAACAACATAACAAGTGACCATTATTCCATTTTTGTATACTTAGGTAGGCACTATGGAAGAAGTGATTAAATGGAATAATTATATGTACTCACTGGACGGAACAGAGATGAAAGATGCTGGAGTACATCTTGACAAAATTCTAGTTATGTGCTCTTATGAGGGGGACGATAATTGTCAGTAAGTAAATATCTTTCAATACGGAATACGTAGTAAGGAATTTCATTATTATTTTTTTTTTTTGTGCCCGGCATGGCCAGGTGGTTAAGGCACTCGACTCGCAATTTGAGGGTCGCGGGTTCGAATCCCTGTCACACCAAACATGCTCGCCCTTTCAGCCGTGGGGGCGTTATAATGTGACGGTCAATCCCACTATTCGTTGGTATAAGAGTAGCCAA